GTGCCTTTAAAAAAATACTTTTTTTAAGTTAATGTTGGTGATGAACATGAAAATTAGCTGCATGCTCATGTTCAATAGGATCAAATCAGCTGCTCTTGTAGCTCTGGTTAATGCTGTAGAGTCAGCTCTCTGATAAAGGTGTTCTGTGGAGCAGGCACGTAATCCAACTCATCAGGCATTTATTTAGGCAATCGTCATTTATTTTCTGTTGTAAACATCAGACTGACTTCAGTGTGGAAATTCTGGGACTTCAAATCTCGTCAAAGRGTTTTTGTTTTGTTCCTTAGGTCCAAAATGCCAAACAGATGAACAGTGGGCTGAAACACATGTTGGAGTCTGGAATTGAAGATTTCAGACTTGCTGAGGTATAATTAAATACTACTCTCTTRGAATGTATTACTATCTCTTTTGATAAAATCTGAAGTACTCTCTTAGATAAAACAAAAAGGTAAGAAAATTCTAGCTCTAACAAAGCACATGAATTGAATAACAACATACTACATCATGGCATTGTTCAGCAAAAACATGAAGAGATTTGTAACAAAAAATAAACTTGTGTTTTAAAAGTTTGCAAAATCTCTTTTCTAAGCAGTAATTTGAAGTRGTTGTGTTTATTTAGTCTCTAACATCAGTGTGACAGAATTCAGTGGATATTTGTATTTTTTTTTACTTTATTTATTACCATACCTTATGTTTTCTTTATTCAAAGTTACATTTAATTGTGATCATTTCAAGCAGTTTTTTCTTCTGTCTGTAATTTTATTTTATTTTTTTAGCAACAATCAGTTTCTTCTTGAGGTTGATTAAACTCTGCTCTTTAACRTTGTAGTCTAACCAGAAAGTGAACGCTCGCTGGACCACAGACGAGCAACTTTTGGCTGTTCAAGGTGAGCTTCATCATTTTTAGTGACAGCACTTTAAAATGTTTAAAGCTGGAATTCTCCAGACAACAAGGATAAAAAGAGATTCTTAGGAAMCTTTTACCAAACCTTTCTGTGGTAGCCTATTCGGGACAAAGGAAGGATGCATTTTTGGCTTCATCGGAAGAATCTTTAGATTTGGACAGCCTCCATCGCGGTGCTGTGACGCAAGCAGCCAACGAATTTGGCCTTCGGAGGACCCGGCCTCCCGTTTTGGACACAGCCTTTGACTCATCTGTGGTAAATTACAAATGAGAATCACCTGTGATAAATTGTCGTTGCCCGTGTGATCCTTTGACACAATGGTGAAGACAAAGAAGCTGTTTGAGGACATCAGARCTGCTATTACTAGCAAACACAAGACCTTCAAAGTGTGAAAGGCCATCTCCAAAGACCTGGGTATCCCAGTTTCAACAGTGAGCAATGTTATCAAGAAGTTTGTCAAGCATTGAACCATTAAGAATCTCCCTGGACATGGGGGAWAGAGGAGAATTGACAAGAGATATCTTCCAAAATTGTGTGAGTGAGAGAGTGAATGGTGTCTGTCTCGTTTATCTATGTGTGTGACCCTGTGATGGACTTGTGACCTGTCCAGGGTATCCCCCACCCCTCGCACTGTGACAGCTGGATATGGGCACCAGTGACCCTGAAAAGAGGTGAAGCAGTTATGAATGATGGCTGGATAGTGGACAAAACACCACATTAAACGTCCTAAGACTTAAAAACCAACCTGTAACAGTCTGGTGTCATGGTTTCAGCAAGTATCATACGCCGCACACTAAATCAAGCAGAGCTTTATGGGCAAAGGCCAAGGAAGACGCCATTGTTGAAGAAAAGACACAAAAAGGTACAACTTATCTTTGCCAAAGAGTTTCTTGACAAACCACAATCCTGGGAAAATGTTCTGTGGGCAGATGAAACAAAAATCTAGCTTTTTGGCAATGCAAAGCAAAAGTTTGTTTACAGACAGTGCAATGAAGCCTATAAGGAAAAGAACACCAACTGTTATTCCAACATTTAAGGCACACCTAAAACACACTGCTTCCTTGTATATCATCATGGGAAAGTCAAAAGAAATTAGCCAACATACCAGGAAGAGAACTGTGGACCTGCCCAAGTCTGATTCATCCTTTGGGTGCAATTTCCAGATGCATGAAGGTGCCTCGTTTATCTGTACAAACAATTATACACAAGTACTGTATTAACAAGATGGGAATGTCCAGCCRTCATACTGCTCTTGAGATGAACTGTTTGACCATAATGACCTTTGTTACGTTTGGAGGAAAATATGGGAAGCTAACCCCAAACCTGCTGCCAAACTGGTTACAAAGTGGCTCAAGGATAACAAAGTCAAACTTTTGGAGTGGCCATCACAAAGTTCTGATCTCAGTTCTATCGAACATTTATGAGCAAAGCTAAAAAGGCAYGTGCGAGCAAGGCAGCCTACAAACATGGCTCASTTACACCAGTTCTGTCAGGAGGAATGGGTCAAAAGTCTTACCAACTATTGTGAGAAGYTTGTGGAAGGATATCCAAAATGTTTGACCCAAGTCATACAGTTAAGGGCAGTGGTACCAGATAATGAAGTGTATTTAAACGTTTGACTTTGAAGAAACAGGAAAAAAGTACCTTTAAAAATTCTCTGTCTCATTATTCTGGCRTTTAGGGCAAGCCACTGAACCCCATCAGTGCATAAATGTGATCTGAAGCTGATTCTCTGTGGAATGATTTGTTCAGATTAGCTTTGTAGGGAGATCTGTTAGAGTCCTGAATGAATGAATGAATGAATGAATGAATGAATGAATGAATGAATGAATGAATGAGGACACAGGTTGCAGTGTAAGGAGCTTTGAATATCCTGGTTGGATAGAAAGGACTATATAAGTACAGCCCATTTACCATTTTCCTTCTTAAGTTTTTGACATTAAACAAGTGTCTCTTTCCATCTGCTCTATGYACTCAGGAGTCAGGAAGTATGGCAAAGACTTCCAGGCCATCGCCGATGTCATTGGTAACAAGACAGTAGGCCAAGTAAAAAACTTCTTTGTAAATTATCGTCGGCGTTTCAACCTGGAGGAGGTGTTGCAGGAGTGGGAGGCAGAACAGGGAACTCAAGCTCCAAATGGAGACACTGCCTCTGGAGAAGAGGGAAAGAACAGCTCGACCACTCCGTCAGGGAAGAGCACTGATGAAGAGGACGAGGAGGCGAGACCTTTATCTTTCTAAGCTTATAGAACAGGCTGTTTAGTGTTGTACAGCGGTTATATTCTTGAGCATATTAGACAACACCTGCATGCTTCTCATTCCTGCTGGTAGTTTCCAAATTTGTTGTGTTCAAATGATTTTCTCCTTCCAGGAATGAGCTCCACTCACTAGTAACTTRCCTTCTTTCCACAGGGTCAGGTCACCTCCTCAGGTGCATCTCCTGCTGCCTCCTCTTCTTCTTCGGGTCAGATTCCTGTGACGTCCAACTCCTCCTCCCTGCACCAGCCYCCTCCCCTCCTGAGACCCTCTCTGCCAGCCACGCCGTCACTCCACCGCCAGCCCCCACCTCTTCAGCAGCAGGCCCGCTTCCTGCAGCCCCGCCCCACCCTGCAGCAGCCCCCGCCTCTCATTCGTCCCTCCAACCCAATTCCGCCTCGCCTCAACCCCCGGCCCACCCCCGTGAGCCTCGGTGGTAACCCTGGAGGCTCCATGTCCACTCAGCAGCCCTCTGGCCTGGCTGCTCACCAGTCGGACTCAGCCACCTCCTCCTCCAGCCACTGAGTTCTGGTTCTAGAACCACTTTAAAGCTTCTGCACTCACTTAGTTTCAGATTTGACAATTAGATTTTTCAAAAAAACACTAAAGACCAAAAAGTCACAAATTGACACAAAACAACATATTCTTCATGTTTCATTTTGTACTTTGAAAGTGCTGTAATGGGAGAAGTTCGCCTGTTTTTCAGTACATGGTGACCAGATTCTGGGTTTATATTAACAAAACTTACGAATCATTATCAACAAATGGATTGTGTTCCCTTTAGGCATGTGTCGGTGTCAGGTTCTGACATAAGATTGGCCAAAAACCCGTTTCACAGAACTAAAACAAAAGTTGATAATTGAACCTCATGATTTCTCTACTTCATTTAAAAAAACAAACATGCAGTTATATAAAAAAATAAAAATATGAAGGTCCTCTGGATGGTTCTTCTTTAGTGAAACGTTTCGTTCCTCCAAGAGACTTCTTCAGTCTGATGAGTTTCAGGTGAACTCAGCCTTATAAGCTCCGCCTCCTCCACATGGACAAACAGGTTAGTCACATGCAAAAGAAGACCATCGACTAACAATAGGCTTGATTGGCTCTATTGTTCATAGATAATCAAGCCTATTGTTAGTCGATGGCCCTCTTTTGTCTGTGACTAACCTGTTTGTCCATGTGGAGGCGGAGCTTATAAGGCTGAGTTCACCTGAAACTCTCAGATTGAGGAAGTCTCTTGGAGGAGAGACGAAACGTTTCACTAAGTAAGAACCATCCAGAGGACCTACTTTGTKTTTCTACCTGGATTACTGAGATGCATCAGGACAAACATGCAGCTACTACGTTTTCTGCCTAAATTTTAGCACGTTGCTTAGCTTAGCTGTTATGTATAAAAGTAAAATATTATTAAATGTAATATTTTTAGTGATTTTATTTGCACAAGTAGAAACAAAATAACAAAAGCCAAGTAAACATGTTGACAGTAACTGTCAGATCTTTCCTAAACTCCAGCAATTTCAAACCAATTTGTGAACAAATTTGTTTTACATTTTTTATTTGATGATGGCGTTACCATCAAGAGTGAAATATTAATTTATTCCCAAGTTTTGAGAGTAAATGTAACATTTAAATTTAATATAGTTTCAGCTCAATGATAGAGTCAATACTCTGTTTTATTTTTATTTATTGGATTTTAAAGTTATTGTACCTATATTACTCATTAGCTGAAGAAACACTGATAATCCAACAAGCTGACGTTGATACTTAATTAGCTGATCRTTAGCCTTATTAATGAGCCTGCAGCAGCAGGTTTTATGTATTTCACCTGCTAACTAAGGGTGTAACAATACATCAGTCCACATCAATATATCCATTAAATGATTTGATTTACTTCAAAACAAAAATATTGAKCCATATCGTTATCATATGTTCAGTATGGATTGATATATGTCCATCTAACACAATTYTTTAAGACTGTGTTAGAGGGACATATGATACTGCATATCGATTGCAGACATCATGACAGACTTTGTGTTATTGAGAAATATATCGTCATCCAAAGAAAATTATATAATTGTGATAAAGCTACTGCTAACATGCTAACTTTTGTAGCTTGTTATCAACGTTTGTTTCAAAACAGCGTTCTCTTGAGAAGAGTGACAGGTGGTGCTCATCTGGCAGACGACTTATGACTGACTGTAAACCAACTGACCCGACCTGCCTATTTCTTTTAAACAAAGGTGCGTTTATCTGACAGCCACTGGGGGTCCTAAACTATCACTCGCCGCGTTTCCATTGACCATGAAAATGCGCAAATTAGAATTTCGAAAATAAATTTGCTCAATGGAAACACGCCAATTTAAAAAAATTATGTTTTTCRACAAAATGTTTTTGYGCTAGGRTGAGGTGGTTTTTCGGCCGTATCGAAATTGGTGTTTTTCRCAAAACTGCAATGGAAACACTTTTTTBGMATCAYGGGAGTCAYGTGATCAACAACCGGCTGTTTCTACTGGTGAAAAAGACGATGAWGAAGAAGATAACAGGAAGTAGAAGTAGTAGTAATATCACAGAAGTAGTATAAAATAGTAAACTCATGACTACAATTTGCCAAAAACACAGCATACGTAGCCGCTCCCAAGTAGGGACTTGTCTCTGGAAAGCCTCGATAAAAGACGCCAACGTCTCCTCTGATGATGAGCGCTAGTGTCGTGGTAGCAACATGCTATGTGTTTACATCCATCGCTGCCATGTTTGTAATGACTTATCACGAGAACAAACGTATTCATGTGACTTTAATAACATTTCTTACTTAATGGAAACACTGCAGTTGTGAAACTGTGTTTTTTCAACATTAAMAGAATATCGACAAAGTTTTGCKMACATTTGCAGTGGAAACACAGCTAGTGATTTTAAAAGACCACCAACAGGAAAACCCTCAGCTGTCCTAAAACGTCACCTCACTCAACTCTAGTGTTATGTCCTGAACTGTCTCCTGTTATCTGCACTGATTCAGATTCAAAATGATGTCATGAATGAAGMCTTTTTTGTCCATAAAGAAGCACATTTTTCCTCTCAAACTCCAAATATAATCACTTCTGACTCCAACAACTAGAATGACAACAGTCAAGTGATATAACAGTGGTTTTACCTGTATAGAAATTTATAAATAGTCTGGTTCTTTCATTAGTGTCTTTATAAGGACATATCCGTTAAAACTATGAAACACTTACATTTCGAGTGAATTTGTCACTCCTACATTATACAGCAGAATGCTAACAGCATGTTGACATGAGCCCGGTGTCGGTCATTATTTACCACGTTGACAACATACTGCTGACACACCATTAGTTCTGCAGCTGTATCAACCTAAAGACACTTCTGTTTAAACCAAGTGGATCAAAAAAGCTTGAGATATTTGGATTACTGTAGTGATTCATCACAATCCTGTTCAGGTTCAGTGATGTTTCTGCTGACAGGATGGACCACAGACCCTAACAATGCCATGTTTTATCTCTAGCGCCACCTCCAGGGCAAACATTTTATATTGTAGTAATATTGTAATGACTGCTGCGGGCTCTGTGTGTTAACTTACTGTTCATTATGTGTTTGATTCTGATGATTCTTGTTCATTTCTATCATTTCCCAYACGTCAACAAATGGACTGAAGAGTTCAACACTGACAGGTCTCCTGATCTCCGCCTGCACGTAGAATTCATTTAGAAGATACGGAGCCCGCGAGGGGACATGGGAGATTTTTTTTCTTTTGCGTTACCACGCAATAGTATTGCGTTACCTCACAAAAATAGTTTATCACTGTTGTGCCTGCTGGTTTATTAGCAAACTCACATGTTCACCATTAATGAATATATCACACAGCCACGCATGGAAGTATGTCATATGCCGATATTTTAACTGCAGCCACGCAACATCAATGTCAATTTCACCAACTTGTGGCGACACATCCTGTTTTGGTAACCGGGTATTTCAAAATAAAAGTCTGATTTTACTCAGTTCGTAAACAAAACAATCTTTTGCGTGGGAACGCAAAACAATATTGTAAGGTAACGCAAAAATATTGCGAGAGAACGCAAAAGTTATTGCAAAGTAAAGCAATACTTTTGCGTGGGAACACAAAAAGAAAAAAAAATCCCCCATGTCCCCTCGCAGGCTCCGTTAGAAGAATCTGCACAGAATCCTGTTCAWTTATTTGTGAAGTTGTTGGTCCATCAGTGTTTCCCTTCTTCATCCTCCAGCCACATTGTTTATGTGATGGAGAAGTTGATGTTATCACAGGAATGCGATAAATCCATTGTATCAGGTGTGTTGAACATGTACAACATGCAGGGAGGTGTCCCCCGTGGACCAGGACTGGTTTAGATGTTGCTGCTCTTCAGTGTTTTCTTGTCTAAAACCAAAGCTTGGTTTCTATTTCAGACATGCTGTTACATAAGGTGAACATCCTACAGGAGTTTCTATCCATCCAAAGTGACTTTGAGAAMATTTGTTTTCACAGCCCAGTAAATGTTTCTTGAAAACACTAAAGATTCACTCTTTGTTTAAAGAAATTAAATAAAAATTTAAAAAGTGCTTAAATGTCCTGTAAACATTTTTTTCTTGAAGTTTTTGTACCTGTTTAAAGAGTAACTTACCCCAAAATTAACTTTTTTTAGCTGATAAACTGTCTAGAATGTGTCTAAAATGTTATATAGTACTGTTTCTGTGCTAA